AAAATAAAATAAAATTTATTAAATTAAAAAAAACGATTTAAGGGCCGGGGATTTACCTCAGTGGTTTTGCTGCCTGCTGTGTAAGCGCAAGGACCCAAGTTCGATCCCCAGTACCAGAAAAAACCCAAAAACAATTTAAAGGGCTGGGAATTAGCTCAGTGGTTCCGGCGCCTGCCTTGCAAGTGCAAGGTCCCAAGTTTGATTCCCAGTACCAAAAAACAAATTTTTTTCAAGATTAAATGGGTGTTTTCTAGACAGATGAGACAAATACAAAGATTAGCTGAAATCCCAGCACTAAGACTGCTGCAAGTTTGAGGCCAGCCTGGGCTATATAATGAGTTCAAACCAAGCTAGCCTGAACTACATAGCAAGACCCTATCTTAAAAAATAAATAAATAATTTTTAAAAATAAAAATTAAAGTCTAAAAAAGCAAAGACTGGGCATTTAAGGGACCACATTGCCTGGGCACCAGGTAGAGACAGGTCACAGGACTCTTCTTGGCCACTCCCTTCACCTTGGGATCTCTGCCTCCCTGATCTCAGCCACTGTGTACTGTGTGCACTTAAAAGTAGGATTTTGTTCTTCTATCTGGACACATAGTTTTTTAAAATCCCAAACTGACTAGCTTATATCTTTAAGAATTAAAACAGGCCTGGGTATGTAGCTCAGTGGTAGGGTACTTCCCTAGCATGTAGAAGGCCCCTGGGTTCCATCCCTAGTAATACACACACACAAACACACAAACACACACACACACACACACACACACAGAGAATTTCAACATTTCTGGAAGAGCTCTTTCCACTGTGAACTTCATGACACACAGCTGCACCAATCAAATGGATTGCAGTATTTTCTCCATGAGTCAGCAGTGTGCAGAGCCCAGCCCACCCAGGTGTGGAGAGGCAGGGCTTTCCTGAAGAAAGACCACCCTGCCATGCAATCCCACCCTGAAGTTTCTCTAGAGCCTCCTCCAACACCTGCAGTTAGTTCCCATGGCCCTGTCTACTTCCCCTTTAGAACCTGCTGCTGAAATGACAAAAACAGTATGGCTAAGGATTTTAAAGACTCAGAATCCTATGCAATGCACACTGTCAACTCAACGTGCTTGGGCTCAGAAGGAACCCCTACTCCACACCTGCAGAGACAAAGCTGATCACAGCTCAGAGTTTTGGACATGGAATGAAACCCAGCCTCCTCAAATCACCCAGGTCACCGTAAACAAGCTGCTTAGCCTGGGTGAGCTAAGGTTTCCATTTTGCAAGGAGAACTGCAAACCTAGGTGTGTCCAGGTGCTAGGTCTGTGGAAGCTGCTGGGCTAAATTTAGATTATGCAAAATGATCAAAGCTTCCTCCTCCACAGACACAGATAAACAGTCCTGCGGCCAGCATGACTTTCTTCAAAAGTGGCATAAGGACAGACAATGTTCCCTCCTCTTTCTGTGGGAAGACAGCCAGCATGGGGCCAGGGCCCAGCTGCCCCAGGGAACACTGCTGGCTCCTCCTCTGTGAATGGACAGTAGAGCTGCTGCAAGGCTCCTCTGTACTCTGTCTCCATGGCCTCAGCAGCATCCAGGTCATGCCATACAGCCAATAAATAAACACTTGTTGAAAGCTCAAGTGAATGAGAGGAAAGGAGGATAGAACCAGGTCGGAAAGATCAAGCAGCTTCCGGCCTCCTCTTCTGTGGGGCCCATTCACATGCATTCTATCAACCATGTATCTAACTCTCAGGGATGAATATTCATGTGCACAGGGAGGCAGTCACAAGGGTCTGCCAAGAAGCTTGGCCCACAAAAGGGTCACCAAGAAGCTAGCAGCACCACCTGCTGCCACCAGAGTGGAAGACAGGCTCTGTCCCAGCCCAGGTGGTGGTGGGTGAGCAGAAGGGGGGCTGAGATGGCAAAGGCTTCTGAATCACCAGGCTGTGAGGCCTCCTCAGACCAGGTGGCTGCTTTGTGTCTGGAACTGAGGAGGAAGTGCCCTGCTGACCTGGCAGGCTCCAATTTCCCTTTCTCAGCTCTTAGCATTTCCTCCCAAGGCCACTTGGCCCAGGGGCCCTTGGCACTGCTTGGAAAGAACTAGTAATGAAGGACCCTCAAAAAATGGTGGCTCTCAAAACAGTGCTTCTTTCATCCAGAGGATGCAGCTCCCAATGCTATGGGAAGAAACTCTAATCTGGGTTATGACCATTTCTCAGGATGATAGATGGCCACGAAAATATATACAATTGGATTGTGTCAGAGGCCTAACAGTAAACCGAACACCACTCACTTGCTCTGAATCCAGGTCTACAGTACACGGAAGCAAAATGTCTGGGACTCAGCTTGTGACAGTGAACTGGGGAGCTGGCATGAGGCTGTCCTCCTGCAGCTGGTCACATAACTGCTGAGAATTCCTATGTGAATCCTGTGGTTCCAGTGTCTTCCTACTTAAAACAGACTACAGCCATACCACCCTGAAAATGTCTAATCTCATAACCTACTGAACACAGTGCTGGGACTGCAAAACCATCTCTCCATAATATGTAATGGGCTGAGGAACACAATGTCCCATTAGTACTACATTTTTCAGTTTCTAATGATGCCTGTATATGTGTGTGTATGTAGATAGAAAGATAGATAGAAAAATAGACAGACAGATAGATAGATAGATAGATAGATAGATGAAATTATGTATAACAATGTGGCCTCCCTGGATGTGGTGGTACACACCTGTTTATCCCAGCACTTGGGAGGGTGAGGCAGGAGTATTGTCTAGGCCTGCCTGGGCTACCTAGTGGGTTCAAGGCCAATCTGAACTACATAGCAAGACACTGTCTCAAAAAAAAAAATCACCTCAACTATGCCAAAAAACAGGAGGCAAATAAGCTCACGTCTTAACATTTTAACAATGTGAGCTTATTTCCCTTTTGCCCCTCCCCTCTTTGTTGGAGACAGGATCTCACTATGTAGCTCAGGCTTGCCTTGAACTCACAATGATTTTTAGTCTCTGAAGTATGTGTGCTAGGATTACAGGCATGTGCTACCTACCATGCCTGGCTCCAAGCTCTCTCGATGTTGGAATCTGAGGTATTTTCCAGGACTTGCTGGAACCACATAAAGACTGTAGCAATCCATGATGGTGTGACAAGTCCAAGATGTGGTGCCTTAGGTATCAGAACCCATCTCTAACTTGTGTGAACCCACAGGAGAATAGCTTCTCTGGGCTTTGTGGCCTGTTTGCTTCTCCACTCACTGGTAAAAACACCAAGTGCATCCAAACAAAGAAGGCTGTAAGTGGGAACAGCAAACAGGCAGACAAAAGCCACATGTGGCCACTCTCAGATAAACTGTGATTTGTCCAAACCATGTTCTTAATTTTTTGAAATCACTGCCAATATTTAAACATTAATAGATTTCAAAAATCCAGGTTTCTCCACTGTGTTCTTTCTTGCATTGATGGTCCACCCTAACCTGTAGGGTATACTTTCTTCGTATTAATTGGTCCAAAGTTGCTCTCCAGAGCCTGTTTCTTTTCTTACCTTAAATAAAACTTTGCTACAGTTAAAAAAAAAAATCCAGGTCTGATCTTCTCTTTTAAAAATTGGGAGTAATAAGAGCCAGAGAGGAGAAATAACCTAAATTTACATCAGTTGTTCACTGGTTAAACAAAAAGTGGCATAACCATACAATGGAGAGAATAAAGAGAAATGAAGACCTGAAGCATGCTCTAACACAGATGAACCTTGAAAGCATGCTAAGAATCCAGTCATAAAACGGTCACCCTGAGTGACCTCCTCCTCTCCTCTCATTCTTTACTTTGCTTCCCTGGCATCTGCTTCATACCATACAGTTCCCTGTACCTGTACCAACTCCACCCCTCACGCCCTCGTGCCTTCTGACAAACTGTCTTCTGTAGGGAACATCTTGCTTCTCATTGCCTGCCCACCTGCTCCTCCCTGAACACTCAATAGAAGCACCCTTCCTGTAGAATGCTCACCTCAAACCCTCTGGTCTCCCAGCTGCCCTAGGATCCCCTCACATAACCTCCACCAATGCCTGGACCACACAGCACTACTACACTGCACTGCTATCATGCACATACATGATCAGGGCCTAAGGAGAACCATTTACCTATTCATCTCAGGGTCCTCACATGGCAGGACACAACCTGGCACTCGGTACACTTTAGCAAACATTCAGGGAACTGAGCTAAATACAAAATATGATTCTAGTTTGGGGAAACAAGACTCCAAGAGGTATAGGTAAGATGCCCCTAATATGCAATTCACACTTCTCAAGCAAAAAGCCCACAGGTCTGCTATGGCCTAGTTTAGAACACTATGAGGGGTCTCCAGGGCACCAGGCCAGAAGCTCTCACAAAGCCTGTGAGGCCAAGGCCCTGCCTAGCAATTAAGAAACTCATGTGCCCAGGATCACATGCACAAACCAATTCTGTCATGGTCATGTTTCCATCTCCCTTCTCTCACACTGGCACGGAGCAAAACTTAGAAATACTTCTTTATCCTATTAAATTGATTTACTATTGCTTTAATAACAAGTAAGAAGAATTACAGCAAATGTAACCCCTTTTCATTAGCAGCAGTGGTAAGCACATGATAATTTCCAGATAATTATAGCAACCTGATTTAGATATTTCATGCTGGGTATTACGGCTGCTTAAAAGTGGGGGTGCTGGATACAATTCTGAGGCTGAGAGAACAGAAACATGTTCCATAATAGGGACAAGTCATTTCTGATGCATGAGGGAGGCAGGAAGGAAGTCAGCTTTCCTTCTATCAAAAGCAGAAAACCATTCAAAGCAGAAAGAAAGGGAGCTCTGTGCCTCAGTCCCCAAGGAGGAGGTTGGGGGCCTGCTGGGCATCATTTTCAGGGACTAGATGAGGCTGCACCCCACCACAAAGGACTGGACCAGGTGAGACAGAGTGTGAAGCCTTGCTCTGTCCCTTTCAACCATCCAGCAGGCAAACACAAGAGGTCAAGGATGGGATCTTTACCAAATGATGGCCAGGGATCTGAAGAACTTGCAGGAACTGCTGGCCCACCCCAGGGGTTGTTCTGGTTAGCAGATGCTGATGGGCCCCAGGGTTCCGCTTTCTGGGCAGCAGGGCCAGAGCTGGGGAGAGCATCCATTAAGTCCAAAAGAGTAGTCTGCTGTGGGTGGGAGCCATGCTTTTAAGACAAAGAGAAGGGAACAGTTTTACTTTGTTACAGTTATAGTAAATACCCATTCACTAGCCATGAACATTGCCCATACCTCTTACTATATAGTATAGGCCCTTCGGAAGGAGCTTAAGAGGGATTTGGAAATTTAGCTACCCCACTTCCTGCCCTGTCCCCACCAGCTCCACCAATTTTACTACTTCCTAGGAGAGCTTGGGCTTCAGCTATTTGCCATTTGCCAAATGCACCACAGGCTTTCAGAGTTCAGAACACCATAGTGCTCCCCGAACATTTTCAGGATAACACTGGACTTAATAACCTCCTCTCACTTTCTCCACCCACTTACCCACCCAGCTGACAGGTGCCACCCAGGGCTCCTCTCTCTTCTGAGGGCTGCCCCATCCTTAGCACTCCAATGACTACAAAGTCTGTTACCAGGAGCCTGTGCCATCAGAATGAGAGAGGCCACTGGAGCCCCTTGCAGTGGTGGTGGCGGGGTGTGAGAGTGTGTGTGTGTGTTCCTGTCTCTAGGCTGAGTGATGATGAGCTTGTCTGGGGCAAAACCATGCTTATATCTATGTCAAAGTGGGAAGCCTAGCAGAATACGACAGTGACAATGATGAAGACCAACACTACTGGGGGCTCACCTGACCCAGGAAAATGTCCCAAAGCACTGCCTTTTAACTTAATTAATATATACCAATTACCACAGGAGGCAGGCACCATTGCCATCCTCATGTTATGAATGAGGGCACTGAGGCACAGGGACACTGTCTTCTCTTGGTTGGGATGTACTTTCAACTGCACCTTCACCTTGCTCACAGACATGCAGGTTATTTATTGAGGATGGAGAACCTACTATGTCCCCACCACATAGAATGCTGAGGGGGTGGGTGGGGACATGACATTATAGCAACAACCACTGGAACAGTCTCAAATATTTACCTTCCAGTAAGCTCTTACCTCTTTCTTTTTTGGAACTTTAACTGTGTCTCTCCGGCTTTCTTCCAGGGCCATCTGTAATCTGAGGTCATCACCCCGCCTGAGGCGTTCTTCCTGTATAGGGACAATGGGAGACTGAAGCTGGCAGTAATGTTAATAACATTACGGTAGGAAACAAAGCCACACTGGCCAGCAACAGGAAATGCATGTTGTAGTACGCGTTATTCCAAACAAGGATTTTAAATCAACCTATAAAACACAATTACTTACCAATCCCACTGTGTGCTTGAAAGGCTCCTCCCTTACCACACCACATATAACTTCAACCCCTTGGGGTCATACCCAGGCACCATCAAATTGGGGAAAGAGAAAATACCTTTAGAATAGATGTGCTGGCATACACCTATAGATAGACGTACTGACACACACACACCCAGCTATTCTGGGGTCTGAGGCAGGTGGAGCAAAAGCTTGAGGCCAGTATGGGCAAACTTAGCAAGATCCTGTCTCAAAAAGCAATATTTTTTTAATTTAAAAAGGGGTGGAGCAGGGGATGTATCTCAGCAGCACAGCACCTGCCTGGCCAAGCGTGAGGTCCTAAGTTTGATTCTTGGTACCAAAGAAGAAGAAGGAAAAAGAAGACCAAAAGGGTGGATGGGATGCAGCTTAGTGGTGGAGTTTTTGCTTAGCATGTGTGAGGGCCTGAGTTCAATCTCCATTACTATAAAAGAAACTTTTAAAAATAGCTTTATAATTCTACTTATAGAAGCAGTATGTCTTCTTTTAAAACACAAATCTGACAACTCAAGAAGGAATTAGAAAGATGAAAATCACACATCATTCCACCTCCCACTGTGGCTGCTTCTAGAAAATGGCTATATAGTTCCGTGATTTTTAACAAAAATGACTCATCATATTTATTTAAGGCACAGTCACTATGTGCAAAAGACAGCCTTGCCCTAGCTTTTACATAATGATTATGACATATTCCTTATGTTTTACTTAAAATTAGCTTAAAAAGGCTCAAAGTGAGCCCTCTCGAGCATCCTCAAATCTAACCATCCCAAACACTTTTCTCTGAACACAGTCTTCTAAATGACAGATGTCCCTGATCTACCTCTATCTCCATCCAATCTTGTGACAACTGTTAACCACAGGAATGAAACTATTTCGGTCACTTTAATTTCTCCTTTTCCTCCTCCCCCATTTTAAAGTAATTCATGGTTATTAAAGAAACACAGGAACTGGAAAAAAACATTAAAACTACACATACAGTGCCTGAGGGAGTGTGGCTCAGTGGTAGAGCACTTGGCTAAAGTGCCAAAAGATCTGGGTTCCATCCTGAACACCACAAAACAAACAAAAATAACAGAGTATTTCCTTCTATCCTTTTTCACCCCTGTATATCTGTGGCTTACCAAATTCAGGGGGTGGGGGCACAGCTAGATTCACTCCTGCTCCTCAAGCTGGCTTCCTTTGCCTGCCCTGCATGCCTGTCCCCTTGAGGAAGCCATGTGAACTCTGCTCATTCAGGAGATCTCAGACACTGGCTGTGTCTGCACACATGTTTCTGGGAAGCACTTGTGGTGGTTTTCACTTTTGGTGATGACTTCTTCAAAAACCCTTCGTAAATGTGACTTTGCACAGATGCCTTCATGGACCGGGGGCCATAAGTAACACCCTTGTAGCCACAGGAAGTGAACTCAGCAAGCACCTTTGAGATGCTCTGAAAATAGGGCCGTGTGTATCATCACACTCCCTGGGAGCCACACCCTTCCAGCAATCACTGTGGTACAGACCCATCCAGGACACTGACCTGCTCTGCCACTTCTCTGCTCATGGCAAGTGCCAGCTGCAGTTGCAGCTCCTCTTCTCCACTTGTCTGTGGCCGAGCCTGCTCTAGCTCCGAGGATACACGTGGGGAGGTGGCTGTGGAGGGAAGGCAAAATCACCACATGCAAAGACAGGGCTGTCCCTCTTGTGCCAGAAGCTCCCCAGTTAGACAACATCCCATCCCCAACTCATACCCACAAGATCCAGCAAGAGCCCAGTGACACAGGCAGAGTACAAGAATGGGCTACAGATTTGTCAGAGTTAAAATCAAGTGATCATCAAATGTGGCTTCACAACTATGTAAGTTATATGGTGCTGACGGAGAAGGCATCCTTTGAGTGTGCAAGTCCCAGGCCTCCAGAAGTTCAGAACATCAGTCTTCACTGAAGACCTGCACTGCTCCAAAGACAGGGACTAACTCAGACAGAACCCCAAGTAGAGTTCTGGAAGAGCTGGACCAAATAACATCCTTCAGTCAGGCACAGGGCATGGGGACACCAAAGGCTCTAGCTGAGTCACATCAAAGTTTGAAAACAGCACTTGATATTTCATAGTGTTTAAGACTAAGAAAAATGAGGCCCAGCCATTTGTGATGATCCTGAACATTTTGTTTAGTAACACTACACAGGTACAGACATTTTTCCTGTACTTTGCTAGTTTGAACATTTGTAAACAGCTCCTGGAAAGACAGTTTTTACTGAAAGGATAAGATGTGAATTTCTAGTTGATATAACAAACCCCAAAACATGGAAGGATCTTCATTCACCCTGTAACCCAGGCAGGGCTTTCCACAGCCATAGGATACTTATAGATCAAAGAGTTTAGAAGCCTCCAGAAATTAGATGTAGAGTTGGAGGAGCAGGAGCCTGAGTGCCCACCTTTGCCCATCCCAGTAGAAGGCTTGATGCTGCTGCCTGGGAAGTTTCCTGGCTCTAGCCTCCTCTGGACACTCCATGCAGCTCAGCTCCCCACCTCCTGCTCCTGTTCCTCAGTTTACAGTTTGGCCTCACTGAGTTGCCCTCTAGAATACCCTCTGCCCTGCCTCACGGTATTCACCCCAGGCTCTCAAAAATCTCCCAGATGAAAAAAAAAAATCTCCCAGACGGATGGTTACATGCAGACAGATGGGTGGATGAATGGATTGATGGAACACTCAACTTCACACCTCAGCAGTAGTTCTAAAATGTTTTAGTTGTGTGTTTAGTTCCTTCCTTTATAACATGAATTCTACCAAATCTAACTAGCAGGATCCACTCACCTAAATATTGCTTCTGCCTACATCTCCAATCTAAACCTGCTGCCAAGGATCTGCCCCCTTGGGAGAAAGTCAAAGGCCAAGAATGATTCCTGACAAGGTAGTTTCTAGATGGCTGGGTCCTGGCTACCTGAATGGAACAGGAAAACAGGCCTAACAGTTCAGCCCTCGGAGGTGATCCACAGAAGGACCAAGTGAGACAGCAAGAGGATGCTTCAGGGAGTGGGCTGGGGCAGTGCAAAAGACTGGAAACGTCTCACCACTGTGATACTACCAAACAGAGGCACTCTTCTTGGTAAATATTTTGAAAAGTACACCAAAACATGTAACAGAAAGACTGAACCAGGAACAGTTCTGGGCATGAAGCACAGTGCAATTGTTTTTAAAAAGCCAGAAACCAAGCTATGCATGATGGTGCATGACTGTAATCCCAGCGCTTGGGAGGCTGAAGCAGGAGGATCACCATGAGTTCAAGACCAGCCTGAACTGCACAGTGAGAAGGAAAGAAGGAGGGAAGGAAAGAAGGAGGAAAAGGAAAAGAAAAAAAGAAAACCACTGCAGTTATTTTAAAAACACAGGGCCGGGGATTTAGCTCAGTGCTTCCGCTGCCTGCCTTGCAAGCACAAGGAACCAAGTTCAATCCCCGGTACCAAAAAATAAAAATTTTTTTAAAACCCACAAAGGTATTTCTCTAATTAAAATCAAGTCATATCCCATCCTAGAATGTCACCCCAAATATATTTTCCAAAGTATTTTTTTGTATTCTTTAGAAATAAAGCTGGATGGTAATGAAAAATCCTCAAACCCATCCTAATAATTGGATTTCTTAACAATACAGCAAAACAAAAGAGAACATTGTTTTGTTGGTTTTGTTCCCAAATTCACAGATACCAATCAGGTCTTGGCTTTCTTGTGCTCAAGGAGCAAAGGTGCATCATCCAGATTGGAGGAAACAAAGGCAGCCAGGGAGTTCTAGGGAAGGTTCTTAGAGACTCTCACCCACTAAATGCAGCTCTCTTGTCCAAATTATTAACACTTAACCCCATTCCCAACCTTGCTGCTGGTAAAGAATCTGAGGGTTAGCTCACAAAACCCTCAGTTTATATCAGATATAGCATCTGTTATTCTGTTTACAACCAAATGGAAATCATGAATAAATAAAGGAGAAAGTCTCATATCCCACTTCTGCAAACCCCAAAATGAGCCACATCCTGGTAGGGAGAGCTGCTCCTTGGCTACATGGCCACAGGGGCTGACTCAGCCAGGCCAGGGATGAATGGATGAAGAAGACCTGCTGCAGCATTGAGGACTCCCTTGTTCTCTGAGCTGTCTGGCACACCTGCAAGGCTAGACTGGCTTCAAATGCAAATGTACACCCTCACGTCCACCATCACTGATGCAATGAGAATAACACACAGCCAGAAATAGCTCACCACATCAATGTGGAAATTCAAGACAAAGGGTATTCCCCTGCATGCTGTGGTTTTTATAAACAGATGTATAGCTCTCAGTTCCGCAGGTGGCAGAATGAGCAGTTACCATCCCTGAACATCAGCTGACAGAGTGTTGGTATAGAGGGAGGATTCCAGCAGAAATGCTCTTGCCTTAGTGACAGCATCTCAGCCCACAAAGGACCTCTTGTGCCCAGGCACATGACAGGGAACACAGATTTCATTGTGCAATGGGCCTGAATGAACCCTTCTGACCACCTGAGCCCTAGAATCAAAGAAAAAAGAAACTGCTTGAGGGATGGGCCATTCTCCATGCTTCAGGCTGCTTCCTCTCCCAGCTACACTCTGGAGAGGGAAGAACAAGAATTAGTACTTTAAGCTAATCACTAAATAGCACCAAATGCATTAGGGGCCTTCCCCTTCCCTAACACAGGCTTCTATGTTACCAACCCTACTTGGAAGAGCTCCAAGTCCTTACCCACTGTGCCCAAGAACTATAACCATGGGTAGGATCACTTTTATCCTTTCCAGTCTGCTGCTGAACATTCTCTCATAATCTAGTCTAACAGGAAGAACAAGCAACTCCCTCCCAACTTAGGGAGACCAAAGCTGCTCTAATTCAACTCCACTCTGCCTGTACCATTTACCATCCAGGCAAGGCCAGGATGTCTCTACTTTGTGGTATGGGAGGGACCCCTTTCCCAAATGTGATCCTAAAGATAAGGGCAAGAGAATTCCTAATGAAGATGCTTCTATTGGCCAATTTCAGGTAACTTTTAAAGAAGAAAAAGCAAAGCAGTAACGTTGATAGTAAAACAGGAAATTGGTTATTAGCTATAGGTTGCCATTTTCCTAGAAAGTACTGAAGAAATAGCTGCCAAGCACAGAATTCTGACTAAAGGGAACAGCTACCATACATACGACATGATTACTATGCAGTAATCAGTATGACTTCTGGTCTGTGGGCCTCACACAGACCACAGGAAGAAAGAGGTAGGGCTTTGATTCTGTGTCCTGGTCCTAAGGAAAAAATGCCAGGTTGTCAAGCCTCAGGGACCCGAGAAGATCGCATGTTGGTCCAAACATTGCTGCTACCCTCCTTGCCCCCATGCATGTCAGCTGAAGGGAGGCTAGGTAGGGGAAGGAGCACCAACTAGACAAGTCCTATCCCCACCTTTAACCAGCAGTTGGATCACATCTAAAAGGCCTAACCTTTCAGAGCTTCTGCTCCCACTTCCATGAAATGGAGACCAACAGGGCTTGTGCAGGATTTGGGAATAGCTAGGACCCAGCTGACCGTCCCCTGGGGATTCCAGTCTTAACCCACGATGGTGGTACTCTCTCCTTCATCTAAGGGGCTAAAGCCCGCACCCTCCACCTCACACAGCAGAAAACCTGCCCTTCTAGACCCCCATGCGAACAGGCCTAGGCTCCAGCCTACCTAGTCTCTGGATTCTTTTTGTCTAGATGGTGTCCTTCAGAGAGCAAGGGGAGAAAGAGCCCACACTGAATCCAGGACCAGCTCAGGGCCAGTTTCCTTCATTGGGTGACCCATTCTTCAGTCCAACTAAATTCCTTCCTCACTACTAAACTGAAGGGAAGCACTTACTAGTTTCTCAGTGTGTTGACATCTTCCTGTGGTTCCCTGGGCTACTTCCTGAGGCAGTTATGACCCTGGCCACTGAGGACACTCCCACCCCACACCTCCAGCCTCAGTTGAGGCTTTGAAACACAGGTGACCCCTCACCAGGGCCCTGGTTTTGCCTCCTTTCAGGAAGGACTATTTTCACTTAGATAAGGTGAATTAAGAGAAAATAAGCTCAGATTACTTCTAATAACATTTAAAAAGAGAAAAAGGTATAAATACATAGGGGAAAAGCCAAAAAGGTACAAAATGAGAAGTGAACTAAAGTAGGACCACAGCCAAATCACTGCCCAGCTGTAGTGTGGATGTGACTTTACAAGAGGAACAGACGGCAGCCATCTCCAAGCCATGTGCCCAACCTCACATAATCAGGCAATGTCACAACACCACCCAGGATGTCCCAGCAAAACACTGACAGTAGTGGAATCCAGGCTCTGAACATGATTCCCAGATCAGAGGAAATTCAGGGTGAGAATGCAGTTGAACAAAGAGACCCAAGCCAGGGATGCTCCGCTGGACAACTGCTCCAGTCTCCTTGGCACATCAAGCCCCTGAAGAAATGGCCTAGGTGCTCTCACTCTGGACAGACTTGCAGAAAGATATCTTCAGGACAACTGACAAAATAAAAAGTTTGGCTTGGGTAGGGGGATATTGACAATTTCTGATTCTGTGAGGTATGACAATGGCTTCTAACTATCTAGGAAGACAGACATCCTGAAGTTTTAGGGGTGGGAACATGATGATG